AAGGACAAATTAGATATTAAACATTTCAACTGAACACTATCAAAATCAATCCAGAGGACAAGTCACAAGTCATACCTAGAGACTGGACTTCGAAATAAGCTAGACATTGGAAAAAGATGTTTTTGGTCCTATCTTGAGTGTGGGACAAGAGACAAGACGAAAACTATCTTTCTTTATATCTTGACCGAGCTCAAAATTTACCATCTTTCTCTATTTACCAGCTAGACATTGTTTGTTGCGCCCGTCATAACAAATTTTATTAGCCCCTCCCCTTGATTTTAGCCCTCTGCTCTCAACAGAATAAAGAACGTCCATTACTAGGTAACAAGGTAGGTTATTTACAAGATTAACTTTGTATTTACAATAGACGATTGTGCTTTTTTCCCTGCATTTGTTAACTTCTATCCATTAAACTCAGTGAGACCAATTTAAATAACAGAGTTTTCGACGTTCTTTTGTTTCAAATGTAAATTGAACCGGGACTATTTAATAAAATGTCATTTAAAAAAAACTCTATTTGAACTATTCTTAACACGCTCCTTGATAGAGAGCAATTCAACAAGAACAGCTTACCACACGTAGCTATCAAAATATCGTCCAACTGTCCAGAGAGGTTATCAAAATCAGGGTACAGTAGCACTTTTCCATTCTCGCCTGCAATCTCTGACATTGCCTTGCCTTCTTTGTACACGTCTTTACCTACTCCCACGACAATTATCCTCACACCTTTGCTCTGTGAAAAAAGGATGAAACCTTATCAAGGCCATAAATTGCAAGGTTGCTTTGCCAGATTTGTAAGAAAATTCCTATCTTCGACCACTATTGAGAGTGTGCTATCTAAATTTCCTTAAATTTTATACGAAATATCGCATTAAATCTATGAGAACGATACAAGAATTCTGACGGAGTCTGTTTGCATTCTTTGCTTAAGTTGTCCAGCTCCTGGTATGTTTTGTACGGTTACATGATCTTTTCTTTTACTTCAAGTCTGAAAATGTAGATATTTCATCACTTTCGTTGCTTCCCGGATGCACATCCTGCAAGAGGAAAGGTTACAGGACGCTGGTGTTCTGTATCCTTATTTGAATAGAAGGTATATAGCAAGAGGAGGGCACCAAATGTTTGTCAATGCATCAAAGTATTAAGGTGAAGTTCAGTTTAACTGAATACTAAGTCTTTTACCTTCAAAATTTCTAATGAATCCTCAAACGATATATCAGGTCGGTTATCCCACTTCGACTTAAACGGTTTTCCATCTGTAAACACGACTATAAAGTTCTTAGCATCAGGTCTGTCTCCTCCTTGTTTGGTGAACAGCTCTCTCGCGACGAGATCCATGGCCAGATCTGTTCGTGTTCCCCAGAACTTAGGTATCACCCTTAATTTTTCCTGAACAAGGTCTTTCAAATCGTTCTCCTGGT